GTCAGTAAATATTATAAATTATCTCGGTATTGTCTTTTAAATCATTTATTACTGACATTTTGATAAACTCAGCGGGGAGACAAATAAATATGCTTAGCAACAAAGCTGTTTCTTTTTTTATCGTATCATACGATAACTACATGTAATGGTCTAATTGTTTTGTTGCTATTATTATCATTTATATTGTGACCGATACAGCATATTCATGTATCATATTTGAAGCAGTAGATATTTTTGTATTTGTGATATGAGGATTACTCGGAAGTTTCGAATATATATTCCATGTATTCAGTGAAATGTTTGATTCGAGTATTCAGTTTGAATTTTGTAATGAATTACAAGACCATTAAGCCTTTGTCAAAAAAAATCTTTAATAAACATTAAAAGAAGAATTATACGGGCTATTAATCATACATTTTTGATATGCAAATTAAATTCAAAATATTCTCTGAATTGTCAGAAATCGTAACGGCTGGATGAGCTAAGAGGTTATTTTTACATGAAAACAACGTCAAAGGACAATTCAATTTCAGCTAAAAAAGACAAAGACTGCATAAAAGATTAAAAACAGAGAGGAACGCGGTAAAGCTAGTCTTGTTTAGGAAACTCGTCGAAATATAATCCTAATGGAATATGAAAATGACACTAAAAACAAAAATTGTATCATAAGAAATAATAAACGAATTATTTCCATTGAAATGTAAGCTGCATTTTAAATTAAGTTCGTTAGCCTAGATTGCCCGTTTTAATTCGGATTGCTTTTACCTACTTCATATTTATAAAATATTTACACATTCTGTAGCATTAAATATTCGGCAGTTTAAATTTTATATATAGCTAGTTTTTTTAAACATTCGTTAAACCATTTCAATGTAGAAATAAACATATATATAATTGTTCATTTTAATTAAACAAATCACTAAATATTAGGTAATGCGCATTATTCTCAAACATTCTTATAAAACAACAAAACGTTATTGACTTACATCCAGAATAATTTACAATTCAGAACAGTCATTTCAATATGAATAGTTAATTTTCAATTGCCATCGCTTCAAATAACGGACACTGAGGGAATAAAGCAAAAAGTGATCTTTTATATCGAGGCAATTTTTCAATGTTTCATAGTGTTTTTAAAAAATATATACTCTGGTAGCCGAGTTTTATTTCGTAAGCCAGGACATTCGGAATTTAAACTCGATGATGGCAAAAAATAAATACGAAACTCAAATTTTATTGGTGTATTTTATAAAATTTTAATTCATTTTAAACATAAATAGCTGAAGGATAAATAGTTATATATTATGAAATCGATTCGAAAAAAAAAATAACGCCAGGAACAAGTCGGACGACAAGATAAAAGATATCTAATTATAAATTCTGCTGACTAATGTCCGCATAATGAAGGGCAATGCACGTGATTCAAGCATTTATCGGTTCTTTCCCCGGCATTATTATAAATGTATTTCCAAGCTTGTATTTATTATACTCGAACATTCACAAACAAATTTCCTTCATTTAATTACTTTCTCGTTCGCTTTGAATTAAGTTGATTAGAAAAAAGAAATGCTCGGTATTCAATGCTTAAAGTTGATTATTTTTTAATTAATTTTTATTTAAAACATTCTTTAAAAGGAAGGTTTGATTAAACATGACATTATTAATATTGAATACCAATTTATTGTCTATTGAATTTTGAACAACTAAGCTGTTAGAAATTAACATAAAATATTAATCGTAAAATTTCGATAACAATCGCTTGTTAGAAACTGTTACGAATAATGTATAAATAATGAAATTCATTCAGAGGTAATTAAAATTTCAATGGAATTACAACAGATAGATATAACTGATTTATTTATAGATAGCACATACACGAACTAACCTTTATTTATGGATCAATGCTTAAAGTATAGATTCTTATGAATATAATATATTAGATACAATAAAATGTAAACAATATATTATAAATAATAGTGAATAAATTTATGGTTAAATATAACAATGTCAAACATATTGGCATCGAATTTAATTTACTGTAGCTATTGTTTACAATCGATTTCTTTATAATACTTGTTATGAAATTATATTTTTTCTTTTTACTAAGCAATTAAAAAACTTCTAGTCAAGTGTATCGGTATATCGTTACATAAGATTTCTTTTTTATTTCATTAATATCTAGATATGTATATTGAATTTGAAACGATTTTATTTTAAAATGGAACTGCGTCTGTAAATATTTGTTTCTCTATTATTTTTATCGGGCATGGCATGAACTGCTCACTTAATTGGCCAAGTGTCGTTTAACAAAACGGATAAACATCGAAAAATAGCTTCTACGTACGCTGAAGTTAAATAAAAGTACTACTCTATCGGGCTGTTCAATAAGACCAATCTTAAAAATCGAGCACATTTGCAGTGAGTATTTAACAAAAGCACTAAAAACCTTTCTCTTGCTACTTCTTTGTTCAGAAACGTTGTACATTTTTAAGGTTTTTGTTTCATTGTCTTCTTATAAGGTATTCAATGTATATATTAATCGATAAAACGGTTAGCGAACGAAACCACAATGGTAAATTTCTGTGCGTGTCATGAATGCTCTACGTCACAAGTTTGGGCATTCAGCCAATCGATATCAGTGTCTTGTATTAAAGATCCGGTCAAATCGACCGGCTGAAATGATTTTACTAACATACCAAAAACGTAAAACTCTATAAAGTTTTGATTTAAAAAAATATTTAATTATAATTTTTAATAGGAAACGATCGTTTGCTCCAATTGACACAAATTACTGTGTAACTTGAAGGTACGAGAATGAATGTTGTGAATGGTATTAAATACGAACCTAGATAAAAAAGCATTCACGCCTGTAGTACGTGTTATATAAAGGGAACATTCCAACGTGCATATTTTTTAAGACATATTAAAATGTTATTATATAACAATGTAATAATATAATGATCTAATTCTAACTCGCTATATTTAATTATTTTTTTCATTAGACTTGACTTCCAACTATTCCAATCAAATGTGAAAGCAATGCTTTTATTATTTTATTTCTAAAAAGGAATACCAGACGGCCATGACACAGGAATCGAAAACAAAGAAAATAATATCCGTCTGATATTGAATTGGATATAATAATTTTAAAATTTCTCGTGTCTAACCTTGTACTCACACGTTATCACTAATAAGAACAAAACAGAACCATAAAAATATAAAATTCTAAATTGACATTATAACACACCATAATTTGCGCGATGTTTCTTTATCATCAACTAGCTTTCCGCCCGCAGCTTCGCCGCGTGGAGTTCGGTTATATCGCGTTTCCAAGAGAACCTTTCAAAAGTCTGGGATAAAAACTATCCTATGTTCTTTCTCAAGGTCAACTCTATCTCTGTACCGAATTTCATTAAAATCAGTTCAGTGGTTTAGGCGTGAAAGCGTAGCAGACAGACAGACAGACAGACAGAGTTACTTTCGCATTTATAATATTAGTAGGGATCATTCGTAGTATTGTCTCGTATTTGATATTTTTGATGGAATTTTAATCCGCTAGTCGCTAATCATAACATTGGAAGTGTATATACATTAAAAAAAGAATTTTAGTTACGTTAGGAAAATTAAAAAATAATTCTCTTATCGCGTTTGTATGAAGCAAGGCCGTTAAATAAAATAGTCGCAATAGTAATATTGAAATCGCTTCCTAATGGAAAAGTCAAGGTCATAAAGAAGACAAGTTTAAATATATACAGTTATAATAAAAATTTGAATAATATATAGATGTTTTTTTTATGTTTCATAATATTAAAATTTTACTAGTCATTTAAACTACCTATTATCTAAGACGGCTTTTTGAAGACAGATGTATTGACGATAGTAAACAATACATTTATGTACAGAAAATGTGTTATACTATTAATATATTATATTCAATATGTCAATCATCACACCAGCAAACACTTATGTCATACTATATACAACAATAATATTACATATCTTATGATACATCAATTAGGTGAAGGCTAGATTACATATCTACCTATAGATATGAAATACTTATTTGAAGTTTTATCAAACAAAAAAATCAAGTTATTGGAATTCCATAGTTTTACGCGGAGGTGAAAGGATGATAATAATTTCTTATTCGATAGGTCATAATTTTAAACCTCAATCTCTTTGGAACTCGTTGGCTGCATTAGGCATATTACAATTCATTCTTAAATGTCAAGGAAAATATATATAATACGCTTATTTGAATATTTATGGTAAGCCTGTAAATTTAGCACGGGCTGAGTTTCGTTTATTTATAAACATTTCATTATATAAACATACTGATCGAGTAAAAATTATATGAATGTTAAACTTAAAAGATTCAAACAAAAAAACGCATATATATTTCTAGCATTAAAATATTCAGGCTATTTTATATATTTTTAATTATATAACTGTCCTTTCTAAAATAACTTAATTGTTTTAAAATATAATTTCAAATACACATTTATTTGAACAGTATTTTGATATTGTGATAAATTTTAAATAACTCGCTATGATATTCATACAATATTATACAATATTCAATAAATCCCATTTCCTTTGTTCCAGGTTTCGTTGAAACAGCTCAAAAATGTCTGATTCTGCTAAAATTGAAGGTGAGTAATGTAGTCATATATTTTAATGCTGATATTGTATAAAGTATAAACGAAGCCGATGCAATAAGGATTATTATAACGATTAAAAACCTTACCGATTTTTATTCCCTTTTATATATTATTATAATCAAAACACTCATATTAAAAAATGTAAACTTCAAATGACAGTGTCATTTCAAAATTATTGTTATAATGGGAGTTATGAAAAAATCCAATTGCTTTGTTTAATTTAAAAGTCAATATGATTCATGTTGCTAACACAACACAAAGGAAACAAACAATTGCAGTGTTATTAGTCTGATAAATTCATTTAGGGTTATTTTTAAATTTAAATTATTCATGATTATAATGAATGATGAACGTTTGGTTAATGCAATAAGAGAAGGCCTCACAGATAACAGAAAAGGTTGGTTACTACGGTCTGTATGTTAAGATTGACAAACTTCCATTATTTACGTTTTACATTTCACTTCTTTTAACTAAATACATACAAACGAGTAGGCCTACAATGTGTTTAAGAAGTGTTTGCCACAAAACAGAAATAAAATCGAAATATCATCCACAGATAATCCTAAAATCCTTTCGGGGCCGGTGTTGACAAACTCTCCGAACGCAGTATTATCGAAGACCTTATTGGGTCGCTACAATGATCTTCCTTTACCGGCGGATAAGATCATAGCGACTTACATATGGATCGATGGCACAGGAGAACATCTAAGATGCAAGGACCGCACTCTTTCATTCATTCCGAAAGCACCAAAAGGTTAGTAATACAAATGTATACAAAAAATATGAAATTAAAGAACTACATCCAAATCTTGTAACAATTTATTAATGTCGGAAATCAGTTTTCATTTGATTTGTTATGATTTTGTGAAGCAAACATTGTATTTTTGTTCCTTTTTTATATCAAAATAGTCGTTGTATAATGAAAAAGAGTGTGATGATGCAACTGTTGATAGTTAGCGTTATTATGGTGATCACAATGTAACGCTACACTTCCATAAACGAGTCATTTCATAATACGTCCGCATTAACTATTCTAATTAGCGTAATTCACATTGCGACCTTCGCTAAATATAGAAGTTAATTTATAAACATGAACGGTATCCCTGTAAAAATATCAGACTTCTTCAACCATAAGTTAACATGGCCAAACTTTACGAGGAGAGCTAAGAGTATTTCATGATTTACATGAGAGTATCGAGGTAGTAGTGACTGCAAGCTCTTCTTGAAAGTACAGAGTGGAACCCGAACTTGTCTTTCAAATGGAATCAAAACGATACAATTTATAGTGAGGCAGTTCAAATCTTTACTGTAATTTTTAATTCTTTAAGTCTTCACGAACTCAGTTATCAGAGAAATTCTGTATACATATATTTATAGACAAATTGACTGAAGTTATAGAAGATCTGAATAATAAATACCGTTTGGAGTTTTATGATACATTCGAGAGAACTCACGAACATGATTACTTGCCGCCATATTTTTTTCCGAAGGATCTAGACGGAATATTTGACATACAATGCAAGTGGAGGAAACGAGTGAATAGGGAGAGCTTTGATGAGAATTTAAAAGGTTTCGTACTAATATTGTCCTCCGCAGACGTAGAAATGTACCTACATTTCTTAAGATAGCTTCGTATTTGTTCTATAGAACTTTATAATGAATACCTACTCTAGTTCGATATTGTTCTGTAATTGTTGAGGCGTTGTTGGTAGTTGTTTTAGATTTGTTAATATTTTGCAATTATATAATATGTCCATTACATTTATTAGATAATTAAAGTTGAGGTACCTTATCATTTTCTAGACAGATGTAGCTCACAACTAGTTTGTTTTTTTATATATATTCTTCATGTCAACAATAAGTATAGAAAAGTATACTTCAAAAGATTACTGTCAATGTTAACACTGTTGATTTATAATATTTTAGTGTTTATATGTTACAAGGTCGAAGATTTGCAATTTTGAGAAACTTTATTTTTACATAACGGTTTCCAATATCTCGTTATTCCGAATTACAGTAATAATATGATGTTTCCATTCATAATTAATTCAGACGCTATCGTCTAAAACTGAATAACGTTTCTGTCTTACAGAGTTTTCTATGAAGATCGGTCATATTATGTTAAATTGTTTTAAGTTTAATAAAATGTAGTCAATTAACAAATTGCTTCTCAGGACGCTAATTGCCGTTGCCTTAGAACCACGTACTTGTAATATATACCAGTAAGAAGCTAAATCAAATCTGTTCCGTAATTTATAATGTTCGTCTATTGTATATGTTCCATCTATATAATATATACATGATATTTGTATATTTATTAAGAAGATAATTCTTTCTTAGTGAGAATAGAAATGTAATGAAATGTATTATTTACATACATACAAAACATAATTTATTCGAAATTGTTACATATTAACAATAAGAAATAAGTTGAACAACATGTCTATTATTTAGATCCTTTTGGTTACTGTCTCAATAAAAGAATAGTGTCGTAATACTAACATCAACAATGGTCACATTTCATGAGTTTATTAATAAAAAGTTACGACAGTTTTATAGTCTCTGTATGGAAAACTATGCAAAGTCACGTTTTGTTTTTGTTTTGATGTAATTGTTCGTTTTCTTCCAACCATATTAATTAATAAAACAGTAACGCGTAGTTTACTACTGTATCATAACATAAAAAAACATTCAAACGTATGAGTTATTTGTTTGATATTTTATTTATTTATATATATGTTATATTTGTGTAATAGACCTGCCGATTTGGAATTACGACGGTAGTTCTACCGGCCAAGCCGATGGCCATAACTCCGATACTTTCCTGGTGGCTCGTGCCATTTACAAAGACCCCTTCAGACGTGGCAACCACATCCTGGTTATGTGCGACACGTACAAATATAACATGGAGCCGACAGGTGAGAATAGAATTCTCGTAATATTTTATCTTTTCCTTAACATAGAAAAAATATATGTTCCAACAGAAAAACAAAATCACCTTAGTTGTTTACTATATGTATTTATACCACAGTAGGAACATTCCTTGGATATTATGCTTTGTACGCAACTGTAATATTAATCATTTATATTACAGAAAGCAACCACCGGTTGAAATGCGCGGAAGCTTACGAAAAGTGCAAAGATGATGAGCCCTGGTTCGGTATTGAGCAAGAATATATTCTCCTTGACTCGGACCTGAGGCCCTTCGGCTGGCCACCAGGCGGTTTCCCCCCACCACAGGGCCCCTACTACTGCGGAGTTGGCGCGAACAAAGTTTTCGCCAGAGATCTCGTTGAAGCTCATTACAAGTAAGCGCTTGAATTTTATAATTTACTTTAAGAGCCCAACATTAAACTAATGGAATGAATAATGTAATATGTTATGATTGGCTCTATGTAGGTGTAATCATGCAATAAAAGTAAACACAATCGTTAATTGGTTCTGGCTGGTTTATTCCTAATGGCTAATTATTATCTCTATGGCAAAATAGAACAAAAAAAACGGAAAATATATATTGTGCTATTTTGCATCATACATACATATGTGTAATTTCTTTTGTAGCTACTACGATGAATAACAAAGGTTGATCTGATTTCACGTATTGTTTGTATTATGAAGTGAATAGTCATTTACACTGTGACCCAAATTATTTATTAATAAAACAACACCATATTATAACTGCTTTATACCTACATTTCTTATGAACTGTAATCGTAACTGGTTTATTGAGGACGCAAAATGTATTTACGAAATTAAATTTATTGCTCTGTCATTATATTTATTACGCCTGGGGTATGTAGTGTTGGCTTTATTAGTAAAGTGTGATATATATACTTTACAGTAATAATGAGTCGGATGTTAATTCGTGGTTTTTACAAACAGGTGCTGTTTGTATGCCGGAGTTCCTATCGCGGGTACTAATGCTGAGGTCATGCCTTCGCAATGGGAGTTCCAAGTTGGTCCCTCAGTTGGTGTGACTGCCGGTGATGATCTGTGGGTGGCGAGATACATCCTTCATAGGCTGGCCGAGGAGTATGGAGTGATCGTTACCTTCGACCCTAAGCCCGTGCAAGAGTGGAACGGCTCCGGTGCTCATACCAACTTCTCCACCAAGAAAATGAGGGAGGATAATGGAATTATGTAAGTCATTTTAACAAACCATCTATTTTGTAATATATTGTAATTTGTATGTCTTTTGTCATTTTTATGATAATACATGGCTGAAGGTACGTTTTTTCATGCATCTGAAAAGATATAAAGTGCTTATTGCCATTGTAAAATTATGCCATAAACTCGCTCGAACGTAACGACACATTGTTTTTCCTCGCATAATGTTGGCGGTGAAAGAATTGTTTGTATAGTATTTATTATGCGCAGATACATCAGGCATCTGCGTATCAAATAACAACAGAATTGTACTGAATAATGTATGCAATTATGCATAATGCAATATGATGCTACGTTAGTATCAACACCCACATGGTCGTGTTAAAGGGTGATGTAATTATAATTTGTGTTTGTGTGTGTAGTGAGATAGAGAAGGCCATCGACAAGCTGTCCAAGGTCCACATGAAACACATCAAGGTTTATGACCCGCGCGGCGGCAAAGACAACGAGCGTCGTCTGACCGGCCTTCATGAAACAGCCAGTATTAACGATTTTAGTGCTGGTGTGTATTAAAATATCTATATTTAATAAGCTGTAATACATTTCTATTCTATGAATCACAGTGTACAGATTCAGAACTGACGAAATTTATAGTCACGTAAAGATGCTCGTGCCTTTTTGAACAAAAATTAAAATGAGACCAAGTTTCTGGGCAATATCTTGAATGAGACAAAAAATAATAGTCTACTATTGAAAATTCAATGAACGTTTGTCATGTACACATTGTTTATAACTCGACATGTTTTTTCTAAAGGTGTCGCGAGCCGTACAAGCAGTATCAGAATACCGCGTGCCGTGGCCGAAGAGAAGAAGGGCTACCTCGAAGATCGTCGACCTGCGTCCAACTGCGACCCTTACGCGGTCATCGACGCTCTTATGCGCACCTGTGTACTGAACGAATAACTAACTCCGCATGTGCCGCTAGCAGAACAACGCATCCTTTGCGTGAACAACGCTTCGTAAATACAGCTTCGGGAGAATTTTGTTCATATACAACAGTTGTTATAGATTTGCCGTAATAGATATACTTTAATATAAACTACAGAACGATCATCTGTTAAACAATAAACATCCAATGTACGCTTTATTATAGATTTTATACTGATATTGTCGAGTGATGTTTGTATTGTCTACTGTACCTACTAGAGCACTAGATGAATGTTACTGACGGGAGATAATTTTCAACGAATGTAGGATATATTTATATATCGTCCTAGCCAAATCCTGGAATCGTCTTTTTTTACATTTTTATACAAATGGCAAATACTTATATACAATTTGAATTTTTACAGTTTTTACTGAATAATACGCAACTTGGTGTATTGTTTGAGGTTTCGATACCGTTTCGATTTCATTGAAGAACTGTGAAACAATACATCTCGTTAATTAGGTGCCTATAGAGAATTTAGGAATTGTTTTTTACGCAATGAATTGTAAATGTGACGCTAGCGCAGCACGCGTTCGTAGCGCGTTATGGACCACGAGATATTATGTAATATTTAGAAAATATTTCTACGACTATTATGTGATATTTAAACATTAATTGTTATTTTCATGTTAAATAGTTTAATATATACAAATTTACCACATATCATTATTTCTAGCAATTCATTTATCGCATATCTAGAAAGAGGATCGGTCCTTATATACCAATATAGATTGTAAGCAATTTATTAATCGTATTATAGATTTTTTTTTGTTTTCGAATGTTTAACGGTTTTATTGTAGTTTAAAAACTATGTTTTAAATATAATTTACATTTTATTTCAGGATTCTAACCCGTGAATTGATATTGGAATTGTCAATTCGTTAATGTCAATATAACCGAATCATATATCTATATATAATAACCTAGATAATTTATTATATAAGCCACTAACAAAAAAAATAGTTAATAAAATATGTTTAATTATAATGCCTAAAAAATATACTAGTAAATAAGAATGGGTTTAAGCACTTATGAAACGGAACCTAAACACCAGAGTAAACGCTAAGCACAAATAGAATCGTGTTTAGATCATGAATATTAGATGAATCGATTAATTTTCAATCATAATTCGATGTCACGAAAGATAAATTTTATATGAACATGTTATCATAAAACGTTATTATGAAATAAATAATAATTTGTTGTAACACCTATGTTTCATTTAGCTCCAAAATTCCAATAGTCTAAAATAATTTCGTCTAAAATATTTTTATATTTAAAAATATATTTGTTTCTTTCTCGGTCATTTTATTTTTTGTCATCAAAGTTCAGGAACATGTGATGTTTTATTCGATTGCCAATAAACAATACTGAGGTCGATTTTATAATATATTAGAGAAATAAAATATTTAAAAACGAAGGCTTTGTTAGGTTTAGTTATTAATTTATTATATATGTAAATAAAAAATAAATATTAAATTATCAAATACTTATTATACAATGAATATTCATGTGAATTTAAATAGGTACGAAGTTTAAAAATCGTGTCTAAGAATATTAAAAAACATTAATTTATGACAAATCATTTTAATACTGAAACAGTTATCTACGTTTGTTTTATATTTCACCGGAGTTTAGAAATAACATTTTCAAAATTTTCAAAAACGGAAATATTTGGTTACAAAATTATGTGAAGTATGACCATCTTAGCCATTTAGTATATTAAAATAGAAATATATTAATCATTTGATGTTCAATAAAAAAAAATCTATGACATGGGCAGAAGATCCTTCAAATTCACTAAAAAAAATCTTAACTTTTCCATTTTAAAGTTACGTTTGAAATGAAACAGTGATCCAGGATTATTTTATTTATTGAACCTTAAATTGATACACTTCTTTTAAAGAGGTATAATTACTAAAATTAACACAGATTAACAATTCTGTAAATAAGAGATAATTTTTTTTAACAAAAACAATCATAATTTACTAACAGGTTACTTTTACTTAATTACAGAAAACATTACTACAATAAAGTGAAAAATATTATAAGGTCATAGCAAAAAAATATGATTAAGAAATGAATACTGCAACGTCCTTGATGTGACAGCCGTTTGATGGTAATGCGATTGATGTGGTCACGTTTGTATATAAAATATAAATATAATAATGATAAACAATAAACACAAAATTAAAGCTTGTCAAATCCACGAAAAAAAATCATCCACTATTTGCGCTACAACTGACAGATCTTATATAGGAATCGAATTAATGACACATAGCGTTAGTCATATTAATGACGTTTAAATAGTGTTGCCAGAATGCAAAATTATCAAGAAGCTTGCTATCTATTGAATATCTTATAATAATGGTGAATATAACCTCTACTGTCAATAATATAGAACTACTTCTACACACATAATAAATAGTAAATTTTCCTTACGCACTAATAAATTTTGTAATGAATCAAACAAAAATACTGTCCGTAGAACTAATATATAAAACGTTAATTTTTTTTAAGTAATTTTTTTCATCGTCACTAAAGAATACAGTATACCGAATATGAAAATAGGTTTGAATAAAATGATATCTAGCTTAAATTGGCATTCAAGGGCCTATGGAATAGTAATAATTATGCCTGTGGCTTTACAGCAATGGCATTGTTAAAACGACTTAATCCAATGTACTACTAGAGAAATATATTTTTTTTATCGTATTTTTTTATTATTAAATGTTGAAACTACACATTCATTTATTTTAAATAAATTTTAAGATCAATCTAAATATTATTATTCTAAGAATAAATTTGAAATCTTCTATCTTAGAGGTTAGCTAAGAGAAAAATCTTGTTGATATCAATACATTAAAATTTATTATAATGTGGATAAATATTTAATGAAAATTTTCTTATTACACCTAAAGGCCGAAAGCAAAATTTTCTTGCTTATATCATCGACATTTTATATCCGTCTTTTCTTTAATCCTTCTTTCCGTACCTGGCCTTATATTTTCATTTGATTTGATGGTTAATATGAGACATTTAAAAATACATGAAAATGTAAAATCCTATTTAAATCTAATTACTTATAAATCCCAAAAAACATGTCATATTTCACGTATTAGTTTTAGAAGTGCAAAAAAATAAATAATAATACAAACTTTGAATTTCGTCAAATTCCAGTGGAAGAGAGCTCAACATAAATGTACTGTTACGATAAATTAATACAGCGTTATAGTAAAATAAAAAAATACGTTTGATTCAAATAAATACGGAGGTCGGTAAAAACGAAATAACAAAAAAAAATCACTCTTCAATAAAGCTGTTCATTTAGAGATCGCTTAAAACTAAAAAATGTAATCAACTAGGAAGTAAATCATATTCACATAGAGTTCATGATGTTTTTATCTCAAACGTTCGTTTTTGGACGTAGCTTGCGTCCTGGACGCTTCAAATCTCGTCCAATTCCACTTGAGGGTCGATCTCCTCAAGGAATTCCATTAGTTAATTGTCCGGTGTGTCGGAGCGCGGTATGTCCTGGGAGTGGCGGGCGCAGTTGTCTATGACGAGGCGCGCCAGGTCCTTGATCATGCTGTATGGACCGGGATGCTGCAGCAGAGCATTCAGCAGACGGAGCCCGCCCTCAGCCTCCACCAAGCCGCAGTACTTGTCGGCTGAAAAATATTTTCACCAGAATTTTATGTATAGTTTTGCTCGCAACTTCTTTCACTGGAATGCAATTTGGTAGTATAAGGAATGTATGGTAGTAAATTATAAGTTTTTTTTTGGGAAAAAGCATCAAACTTTCACATATATACATCATCCAGCTGTCTCAGTTAAAATAAGAAGGACCAATAACAGATATGTTTTTTGAAATGTATATATATTCTTAATATTGAAGATCGAGAATTATTATTAGTGTTATAAATATATTTCTATAGATTAACTTTTATTAAAACTGTTCTTAAAATTGCCCTACATGCTTGGTACTAAATTTTCGTAGATGAAAATTATAAATTTGATATAAAGGAAAAAGAGAGTAGATGAATGATAAATACAATATAAATTTTCTCTAGAAGACTATTTAGAGTATTAATTAAAAGAAGATTATTTAGAATATTAATTAAAATATTTTTTAAAATTATTTCACTTTTATGAGACTTCAGTGTAATCGAATTTTCAGTATCATAAAATCCACTTACTTACATCTTATAACATACATTAAAATTTAGAATAACATATATAGATAGTAATAAAAAATTGAATTTCTAACATAAAACAAATAGGTGTAATTAATACAAAAATAAAATTAAAATTTACTTACGTACAGCCACCAGCATAGGATTCTGAATCTAATATGTGTGTAATATAATTAAGATGTCAAATATTATTAGTGAGCCCATTTCATAATGATAAAACTTACATTGAAATATTTTCATGTCTTTTAAGTCATTTCTTGAATTTCATGGTAAAAAACCTATTTTATAATGAAAAATATATTAATCTTCGATAATGAGCATTATCAGTGATTTTTTTGTTATAAATAAAGAGTCACAGAACTTATTCTTAACAAAAAAAGGGAACAAAATATTCTCAACCGATGTGTAACTTGTCTTCTTTGAATTTTTTTATAATATAAAGTTTTATATAGAATTTTTAATGATATTTCAAAAATTTCATTAGTAGATTATTATCTATGAATGCCATCAAGATGAACAAAGGAACTTTTTTTTGCATATTTCGTTAGTTTAATAGAAGGGTTAACCAATTTTAAACTTTTGTCCCTAAAATAACATTCGTACCTATGTATCTATATTGGATTTAAATTAACTGCTTGACAAAATTCAGTTAGTATAAATGAATTTTTGGCTAAAGAAATAATTTTTTCATTATTTATATTGGTACTGGAAAATTATTTAAATTATAAAAGCCCTTTCGTTTCATCTAATTGGCTTTAAAATTGGTTTTAGGGAGAAACGAATCATATTTGCTAAAATAAAATAGACATGTTTTGACAGACAATTTGTTGAAGTAAAGTCACGGCTTGATTTATTGTACACTATCATAAAAATCCATTAAGTAGTTTAGTATGGAACTGTGACTAATGTTTGTAAAATTAATTGGATGGGAAAAAATCATTGATTCCTTTGTATATTTTGTTAATGATCGACCATAATCTGACCTTCAAAGTACGTTATCAAAAAGTCAAACTATACATAAAGATTTTTCTTGCTTTAAACTTTCATTGTCCCGTTGACTTAAATTTAAATTTTCTGTAAAAATTTATAATCTGGTATATTAAAAAAGTATAAATTCTATTTTGCCAATAAGGTTGATAGACAAACAATATTCTGGTAGAACTATTCTTAATAAGCCAAGTAGGAAAGAGCAATATTTGATTAAAAATCAAAAACCTTACATGACTTCGGTCTAAAAAACCATTATTCTTTGATTAACTTAAATCTAAATTTTATTATTTAAGTGTAATAATACCGTAGATGTTTGTAACTGCGAGCATCTACTACTTCTACTTATATTATTTGTATTCCATAGACTTAAAGTGATATTATATACCAATAATTTCTCTAGATTTTACTAGAGACTTCTTTCAGACATGAATATTTATAGCTACATGACTGTGATTCCAGTCGCTAAATATGGTTTAAACTCACGCGAACATCTCAATATTTAGTACTTGGTAAGCAGTGTTATAAGTCAATACAAAGTTATGTAAATTGACGTAATTTTACATATACAGGGTGACTGGTGAATTACTATCGATATTTGAGGACGTGATATTTGACGATCATATATGACAAAATAAAAATTAATATAACATAAATATTAATAAACTTCTAAGTAAAGTTAACCAAAAGTTATGTAATTAATTACGCATCGTGTGAACACCCTACAGATTAGGTATACACTGACACTCACACATACGCGTGTCGTGACGTAGTGTTGTATCAGCACGCCGCCGCACGCGTTCACACTTGAACACTTGGAACGTGTCAACACTTTATTTATTTATACGGAAATTTTATCAAAAATTAAGTGCCTATTTTTTTTACATAATTCGAATGAGAATCATGTACCGAGTATGCTCCTTAAATATTGATAGTAATTCACCAGTCACCCTGTATATGTATAGATACTTACGGTATACAGTTGTCAGGTTGGCCAATGCCCAAACAGCCCAGTGTTGGCACTGCGGTGTGTGATGAGCGTGGAGTAGACTTAGTATGGGTTCGAATGAACGATAATTAATATTCCGTTCAGCCCTACGGTCCCAGCTCTCTACGGCTGTGGCGATACGTTCCAGTACAGCATCACGAGCTGGTTCAAACACCGTCCAAGCCTCGGGTCCATCGGACGCCATGTGAGCTAGTACACCGGCCGCGTTGTAGCTCACCTGGTATAGATAAATATAGGTTGAGTGTATGGTTATATATGTATGTATTTATAGGAAAATATGTGTAATGACTTCCACTGATACATTGATTAATCACGATATCTCTGGAAACTAAGGCGTAGAGACTTGAAAGTTGGTGAGACGCGAGTAGGGGTCAGTTAAGAACGGATTTTACGAAATTAAATCCTCAATGAGTGGTTGCGGAAGCATATGTTAAAAACATACATAACTAAAATTTAATAGGGATCTTTTGTTTGTGATGAAAAAATTATATGTGAGCGAAATTTAGTGGGAGTATATTTTAGTGTGAGTGGGTGTTAACAATGAAAGTTTTTAATCTTCAAGTTATAACTAGTATAGAGGAATAATTTTAATGAATTTTCTAAGTGATGTAAAAATAATTTACGAACTTCTTTTACAATATACACCCACAGAAGGTTGCACTTGTGGATGTTCAGAATTATTATTTTTTATATTATACCACTCTAGGCTAGTATGTATATTTCGTTATAGTATATGCGATTTCAAGGCCTAATTCTTTTTTTTTATGGGAAAAGGGGGCAACCGAGCAGACGGCCTACTTGATGGTAGGTAGTTACCGTCGCCCATAGACATCCGCAACGTAGATTTGCGGATGTGTTGCCGACCTTCATTGGGGAAAAGGGGGAGGAAAAGGTGGGAAAGAGAGGAAAAGGAAAGGGTGGGAAAAGGGAAAGGGCCGGCTCTCTCACTCACCGGACGAAACGCAGTCTTGTAAAGACTACTTTACGCCGATTTTCTGCGAGAGAGTGGTACTTCCCCGGTCGAGCCAGCCCATGTTCGAGATGTAGTAACTGACCACAGCTAGGCTCTACCACCTCAAAATTTCATTCCTATGTTATGCTACATGTCATGTGTACGTGTTATTTCAGCTCACCTCGATACCATCACTGGAGGACTCGAGCAGTTCGTAGAACACAGTCAGGAACAGTCTATTCATCAGCTGCGGGCGGAGGGAAGGGACTTCAGCGACGTTCCCTAGAAGTCCCATCATGTTTCGTAGAAGCTCCTCCTTGTCGGGGAAACTCTGAAATTATGTTTTATAATCAAATTATTTTTCATGTAATTTAACGAGCCTTCTTATTCTCATAATAAAGTGTCTGTAAAGTTCATATCTCAAGACTGGATTAAGGCTATATTTATGTACAAAAAAAATTATTAAAAGTTTATTTTTAATGCATAAAAAACGTAATATCTCGTTTACCAACAAATAATAATCAATACTTTTTGTTATTTATAATATTTGTTTGTCATTTTAGCCTTTTTACAAAAAAGCACCCCAATTTTATATCGACAATACTGGCGTTAAAAGTGTATTATATTTTTTTAAAATATTGATAAGCTTTTCGTTAATATCTCATTTTAAACGATGTAAAACATAATATAACTACTATGACAAATTTTGCCTCAAAATAGAAAAATATAAGGTACAAAATTACACTTATAACTAGTATTTTCGTAGTGAATAATATACATATAACTTAATCTTATAATTCAAAAGAAAAAAGATTTTTTACTATTTTAGACGAAAAAAAAAACACATTTTATAAAGAAATGATCACCATAGCTTGTTTTATAGACGTCAATAAATCATATAGAAACGTGGTGTTAATACACATGCAGTCACAAGTTAATACCAAATTACACTTTAATATTCTGAATATTAAGAATTTAATTTTATAATAATTAATAATATTTACATTTCTTAATATGACGAGGTTGTATAATAAAAATAAATAAATGTCTCTCTGCCCAACAATAATTCCTACAAAGAAAGACGAAACTTGAAGAATCATTGGGTTGAATAATAAATGATATAACTAGCAACCCAGCCCAGCTTTGCATCAATTCTTTACAGAAAATTTAAAAATAGCATGTCACTTTGAGAAGTACTTTGTGATGAAATAGATGGAGAAGTTTTTAAATCTGTTGCGAACAGACAGGCAAACTGACAGGCGGTAACGTCAGAGGATTTTCTTTTGAAATATTTAAAGATGATTAGGTTGGATACAGTTGTTGTGTTAATAGCTTTTACATTATCCCATTATGTTTCCCAATTTTATTTAAAGTATTTTTTTAAAGTGTAGTTTTCTTTGCCATATAAATTTTAAATTATAAGTCGCCGCAATTACCACTTAAAATTTATAAAATATATATTTTAAACGTACGTTCATATACTACCTAAACATTCGGTAACGCACCGACTCCGGCTTATTTTGAATTTTATAATAGTTTGTACTCTACATTAAAAAAAATGATAATATTTTGGAGATAGTATCGTCGAACACGCTTTGATCTTGCGCCGACGTAATTGTTCGTGGCCTCATTTCACTTGTATCTCAAAATATACGTCCTAAATTTATATGATAAAAGCGAAAATCGCATCAATTTAATACATTACGTCACTATTTCTTCATAATTTTCGGATATTTAATATGAAAGACTTCCATTAAAAGACATATTAGAGAATTACAAAAATTTCAAACTATATATGTATTTGTATTTGGAAAAAAAATTTTCCTTACTGTCTATTTTAATGACTGTATGTGTGGGTGACGGGTGAGTAATTTCTAAATTTAGTTCATGTACAAACATACCTAACATAGTTTACCCCAGTATAATAGTAGTACGAATAAATATAGTTTTGATTTTAACGCATCGTGTTGTTATATGAAGGAAAATATTTATACCTATTGCCAACGGTGCTTTTAATATTAACCAGTCTTTGCAGTTTTTCAACTGCATATATATACAAACATATAATATATAGAAAGAGCGAATGCAAAATTATATGTGGGTTCGGACGAAACTTAGTTTTACCTGATTCATCCAATGGTATGTAGAATAGGTATTTAAAAAGATTATTACCCACAACAGAAGTTATTTCATCTAACAATCATTTTATACCAACAAGGGTATGTGATCGTGTGTAATAAAACAATACATTCTAAGCCGTTATGAAATCCAATTTGTTACTTTGAAAAAATACATTTTAATCTTCTTTATGTCCCTGTCCGGGGTTATTTGAGGTCGAACTTTTATTTAGCCTTACTCTGCCCTTCAATCCACCTAAATCCATAGCCATATTCTTACACATATGTATCAAGTAATATCATTGAGACTGGGTATTCAGTGACGAACAAATTTTAACTCTATTCATAATAACATAAAGTTTTTATCTTGGTATTATTCGATCAACAAGATTAAGGTTTCAATTTAATTGTATTGTTTATCCGTTTTAATACTAACCTTGAGACAGGCGAGGAAGTACTCCATCCCACGATTATCGAGGAACAGCTGGCAGTTGTGGGGAGTCTCATCGGTGACGTTCCACATAGTAGACCAAGCTACCTCGAGAACATCGTCACAGATACGACGCTCAAGACGATCAGCGATCAGATTCAACATTTTCTATAACAAATCATACGTCACTATTAACTATTTATTTATAAAAATTACAATTATGAAACGCTACAGCTTATGAGGAGACAGAGGAGGAAGGATATCACTGAAGTGTGACAAGGGACATGGGGGAGTGAATAGTTTTGTGACGTCGCATTATAATTAAAAAATATAAAAACGCATACTTTGAATATAAATTGTTTTTTAATACATACATCAATTTAAAAATGTGCAAGCTCGGGAATGGGTGAGGGGTTCTAAAGTCCTAAAATTCCTTAATTGATACTTTGGAAATATTAACTATTTCAACCAAATGATATTTTATTTAAATAAGCGATAAGACCGGATTTGTTTGGACGTGATGTTGGCTAGCCACCTCGTTATACAAATTGGCAACAGTGTGGCAGGACTAATGCGCAATTCAATGTCGTTGCGTGAAATTAAACAACGATAAATATATAATGTATGAATTAAAGCCGAGAAATTGTGACATTGTATGACATAAACAAAGTCGTGATTATAAATGATGATACCTTTCATGACACTTATGATGTTAAATAATAATTAAAATTAAAAAAATCTAACTGCCGCATAAACGGAGAAGTTACAAAAAACATTGAAATATATTAACAGTTGCGAGGCATCATCATCATCATGCGAGGGAATATTAAACAAATTCTATAAGAATAGATATAGGTTTATCAAATAAAAACCAATTAAAAAATATTTATAAATACAAAAATTGTAAAATTAAAAAAAGTTTTAAGGCTTATTTTTTTAAAACGTCATAATTATTAATAACTTTACTACGCAATTGTAAAAATTAAACATTATTTTATAATCGTAGTTTCTTGTTCCAACTCTTGTCAAAAAAGTACCTCCAATAAATAAATAAAGGCAAATAAGTTACGTATTTTGCCTCGATGCAATCATGTAAAACGAGGTTTAATAATTTACCTTTCAACAAAAGCGTTATTTCAGTTATTAATACATTTTATAATCAACTAGATTTGCCCGCGACTTCGTCCGCGTTAATTTCGGCACTAGTAATATATAAAAGAAAGCCCACAAATGGGGCAATACCCAACAACTACAAAACAATAGAAATGTTATAAAAATTAAGAATTACGTTAACATGAATAGTTTGGCAGTATTTAACAAATTAACTAGAGAAAGAAACTGTTGTCTATAGATATTGTCTATCATAACTTTTTTTTTAAACGAAAGGAATGCTTATTGGCTGTCGATCATACCTACATAGACCGGTAAAAGGTATATAGCGATAATGACGTTTTGGCTAGGAGTTGAGTTCTCGAGTAAGTAAATATGGTTTTTCGCTTATATGAGGAAAAGTCGAAAATTTTCCGAGATGTAAAGTAGCCTATGTGTTATACCTGGATCTCAGCTTCCTGTATACAAAATTTTATCAAAATCGGTTCAGCCATTTGAGCGTGAAGAAGTAACAAACATACACACACGCTCACAAACTTTCGCAATTATAATATTAGTAGGATTATCTAGTCCTAACATTATTTACATAAAATAAAACTGCATATTTATTTGAAGCCACGCTCCACAATCAATCATATACAATTACTTTGATATCCTGATAAAATTAGATACATTGACCTGTTGAATAGATAACCTCATTTTTGTGTACCGACTTTATGTATTATAATTCAGAGAAATTAGGTTTTGCAGTGTTTATCTAACATGACCTTGCACATGTCATTTATGAAGAAGAAAGTTTGGATTCTCATAGCGATCTATTTATTAGATACTTTAAGTTTTTATCACCATAAACATATAAATTTTGATAATAAATTGGCAAAATAATCCACAATCCAGTAGTAATGAAGCCATAGTATAAAAAAAGTGATAATATTTGCTTGGTAACGTATCTATCTACATACATCTAAGTGCAAATTAATGCTGAATACGGACAAAAAAATAGTATTTTCAATTAACACGAAATTTAATAAGGTCTTGATACCAAAATACATATAAATGCTCTCGCTTATATGTACTTGTGGTTGACACTTTATTGTTGTATAGTATATGTATCCTTTTTTAATTTTTTTTTTTAACAAATTTTTATTAAGTCGGTCAAACAAAGAAAGAACGAGTCACTGATGAATTCCATACTAAATCACATAATTATTGCCGATAAAAATTTTTTGTGTACTTCAAATCTGGGAAGGTTTCATTTTGTAATAAACAAGACCGTAAAGATTGTGAAATAACCTTACAATGGTTTAAGAATGACAAAGGTATGTATAACACAACACCCACATATTAATATTACACGATTATAATGGGTACATTATATTCATAATGTAACCGTAGAAAAAACAGTAATTATGTTTGTTTAACACATAATAAGAACATGAATTGTGTTTTAAGTCTTTTTTTTGGTATTTGTTGATAAAAATCAACCAGTCGTAAAAATATTAAGTTAACTTCGTAAACTTTGAATTTCTGTATGTAAATTAGGTATATATTTAGGTTATACCTACTGACATTTTTAGAACCTACATACTTAGTAGACTGAAGTGGTAATTTTTATAAACTATAAACATGAGCTCATAAACCATAACAATTTTAATGAAACTTGGCTCAAATATTATTATCCATTTCATTAATCAGGATATATTATTCCAGTTCCATATTTAAAATAGGAAACATATAACAATGAACTCGGTATTTAATTTTTAATTTTTAAATAAATCGTTTATTAAATAAATAAAATAATAAAAATGAAACAATAATTAAAAATGACTGTCAACTTCGCACACAACCTGTTCTAATGACAAGGAATTAATTGTATAAAAAACAAAAGCATATAACTGGAAATAAAAAAAAATGCCATCGCTTTGGTAGGTACATGATTTTGCATATTCTTCTTTATTTTGTAGTTTTTTATTTATAAATTAATAATATTCCAAGAAAACAAATAAACTTATGAATTTTCAATTTTCAAGAACAAATTATGCACTAAAGATAAAAACAAAAAAAATATATTTATCGCTTAAAACTTTAGTATATTTACAACCATGGATTTTAAGCGGTTTATTAGTTCGATAAAGTCACAATTTGATTAAAACATCGCTTACGCATCTATTCTTATAAGTTATACAAATTTAACTTGAAAGACGTGAACGTGACTTCTAATTAGTGCAAGTTTAGAGCGCATTATAATTCAAGGTCTTATAGAAGATCTATATATTAAATTTTCCTTTATAAATGTCGCATATGCAGTAAATAATTCGGGCATAACTATTCTTAATAATTGAAATATTTACTTTAATACAAAAATTCTAAAATCACACCACACAAGCTAAAAAATTGTGAAACAGGATACTTCTATACAATAGTATCGGATTTCTCTTGTATGAATTATATTTTGCTTTGCAAGTGACAAACAAAAAAAATTGCTTGGTACTATATATGAAGCAATAGATTCGCGTTGCATAATTACATTTTATTCCATAATAAATATTTTAATCTAACTTGACTGAATACTAATAATAGTAACAACGCATGTTATATATACATACATATATATTTAAAATCTTTTTTAAAATCAAGACGCATATATACAAACCGTACATAACCATTCTTATGTATAGTTATAATATTTGGGTGAATGTAATAAATAAAAGTCAACAATGTATTCAATGCTTCTATTAAAGTTACTTACCCCGATAGCTCCGTGGACTCCCAGAAAGCGTTTCTGAGTGCCATCGACCTGACAGGCGAGCGAGTTAAGCAAGTATATCGCTATACGTTGCACGAAACCCTCTTGATTGACGTCAGAAACACCGTTCAGTAAAATCTGAACCACCCTCTCGTATTCAAACAACTGGAATTAAAATGTATTATTTCAATGTTAATGACATATAATTTGATAATGTTTGTTGCGACTATATTCATAAACTGTATTAATTCATCCTATAAACTTTGTAATGTAGCTTCGACTAAGAAAAGACTGTAATTTATCAAGAAATTCCGTGTAGCTCTTACGGTTTGTATTATGAATGAAGTAGCGTAACATGAACTAGATGTCGCTGCTAGTTGCTTAACATGTCTATTGTTTCAATACACTTCATACATTTCTCTCTTAGCCTAATTCAAACACTAATTAGATATGATACAAATACATATACTTCAGAATATCATAATTGAGGTAACCTAGTAGTGAAGTGACTAATATCACAACTAGAAATAGGTTCGTTCATTCTCATTGACCGGAACATAACAAAGGGTTCTTAAGTTGCCTAATATCCATGTAGTCAAATAATAATAATATTGGTACTTCAAGGTTTGGGAGTATTCAAACTCACCACATCATTGGGTATTTTGAATTGGCAGAGTGTGAGACAGCCATTCCTCATCATAGTATCATCGCCGAGATGAGCTTCCATACCATCCAACAACACTTTTATGATACGCCGCTTCAGATGTATGCCGATACGAGATCTATCTTTGCCTTTCACTATATAAAATAGTGTTGCACTGGAATAAATATTATAAATATTATTATTAAATCAATATACAAACTATATTCATATTGTAAGTTTTGTCTCATTAAATCACCTTCCGGATATTTGAATATGTTTCTCCAAGCAATGGGTCTCCATCGCCGTTAAGACGACATTCAAAGCTCGTCCGACATATGAGTTATAGTGTTCAATACTGCGGAACATATAGTATAGGTCGTTGAGGACACGAGTCAGCATCGCAGGTCTCTCCATGTACACAGAACCAGCTATCAAGATCTGCTCCTCATTTGCATCTCCGGTGATCTAAAATTTATAAGAGTTAATTTTGTATTCTAATTTACATGTATTGTTATATTTATTATGGTAGTTATTATTGACCTGCGTCTGTAGATAAACAATCAAAACTGTGGTAGGGTTAATGAACTTTATGTAGAATATTTAACTTTATATGAAACATTAACTTGAAATGTGGGTACTTTATTCTTTTTAGAATAAAGGTTTATAATAGTTAATGTAAGGGTTGTCTTACAATATTCATATAAATTCCTCCTTCCTTTCTAAATTATTTAAAATCTTACAGCCATTTTGTATATAAAATTTTATAAATGAATAAATTTTGTCCAAATACTACTGTTTTAGTCATTGTAATGATGTATAAAATTGATGAATAATTTTTAAGAATCCTTTGAATACTTACCACTTTGGCTGGTATGTCATGACGTTTGCATGCACCATGTAGAGTTCCATACAGGCCCAGAAATTCTAAAGGCCTATCAACTCTACTGACAAGGCCCGGTATATCACAACGGACATGTTCCAAATCAGACATTCCATCGCTAGCAGCTGGAACGGCTGAGCCAGTACCAGCCAAGTTTGTCCCAGATATATCCAAATATTCCAAATTAGGTAAACTGGTCACCAACTTAGTCAAAATCTCATTGGGATTCATATATTTCCCATGTCTCTCATTTGGCTGGGATACATCCAAATGGCGTAGATTAGTCAGAGTAGCAATCCAATCAATAATTTCTTTTGACCAGAGCACACTATGCAGAACAAGTGTTACTAAATTCTTTAGTTCATGCAGGGCCCAAGTCGAACCGGCAGATGAAAATTCAGAAAGATCAAGGTGTGTTAGATTATGTAGTGGTTTCAGAAGCAAAAGAGGAAAGATTGACATTCCTCGGCAGTGTATAGACAAACGTTGCAGCTTGGGAGCATCAATAACAAATCTGCGTTGACGATACAGATTTTCATCTTGAGAAAGTGCATAAGTGAGTGGCCCAAACTTGAGAGAGACTAGATTTTCACTGTTGCTGCTTATGATGTCGAGAGAAGCTTGGGAAAGGTATTCACATTGAATCAGCTCGACCTCGGAAGGCTTGTGCTCCATCAAGCAACGGAGACCTTCATCTGTAATGCGTGAATTACGCAATTTTACGCGATTTAAACGCGTTCTGGTGCGATCACGAAACATATTTGCAATGTTATCGTTAATTCGATACTTCTTCTGATAGGCCTCAACCAGTCTCTCGCAGATTTCAGCAGGCAATATGATGTCATCTTTCAGTTGGCGCCATCGACTTTTTGGATCCAATTTGGTAATTACATTTAAGTTGGACACGATGTAGTCCATACTTATGTTAAACAAACTAGAAGGTGAACTGTCGTTCAAAGCAAACACATCAGGAAGTAGCGACATTCTGATTTTTTTTTATGATTTCTCTTTTTACGACATTATAAACAAAGCTTTGATATTTATAAGTTTATATAAACACTTAGTCTGTTATCACTGGCATAGACTCCATTTCATGAGTTTTACATTCTTGTTCAACAAGACAGACGAATAATGAAACAGTATTACGTTCTACAATCTCAGATTAAATGTGTTTTTCACAATCAAGGACAACTTCCGACACTTCAACATGAACTTAAGATGTGGATTCTAGTATTTTTGCTAAGTGATATAGCACAATCCGAAATCAGTAAATACACGTTCGATAGCCACGGCTGACAGTGGCGACTGACAAATATCCAGCTACTGAGAACTAAGAACCAACGTTACTACGCAAATCACGCCCCGCCTCCCATAGTGTTGCTAAATGTAAAAGGCTAAAACTTCCAAACCCACAATGAAAAATATAATTTAAACATTTCTGTGTAAAGAATTAAAAATAAATTTATTTTATGCTATGATTAAAAATATGTAGTATTAATTTTAAGTAAAAAAATTAAATTGGTTAAATTCCATTGTAAATGAACAATTGTATTCGTTAAAAAGCAAAAATAACTAAATACTTCGTAAATATCATAAGTTATTGTTTATTAGAGAGTGTTTTACGTCTCGTAAAATATAAAGAAATATTATTAGTTAAAATAGATTTTAAGTAATATTTATTTTAGATTTGAAATTCAAAACCTATTAAATACAAATATCAAATTGAAAACTTTTGTTTTGAATTAGAAATATTATTCGTGTGTACCATGTATTTAAAAATTTTACTTTGTTTGGAGTTTTTTGAAATATTAGTTAATCACTGCCAAACACACTTTCTTTTATTAATGGAGGTAATTTCTTCCAAAATCGCGAAATGCTATTAACTGGCAACATTGCTTCTACCACAAATGGATCAATAATTTTGAACTCGTTTCAGTACATTCGTTATGGCAACATTGCACATTTTTGCACTAAAAATCTAGCAATCCATTATGTATTATAGACATGATTAGTAAATGATGACTACTAAAGATTTCTTAGATATACGAGGTATAAATAATACCCCGAATAGTATTTTAATTAAAGTCAAGAAAACGAAAAAAACAAAAGCAATTTAAAAATTAATTACTGCTTTTTAAATAATAAAAGTTATCTTATAATTTGAAACATTGCATGTTTCTTAAGCAAACTTATATTTAAAAACCAAATAGAATTTTAATAGGAATAATGGATATTTGTAATAGCTTTCAATAACAGACTTTTGAACCGTAAACTTTTCATATTCTTCTAAAGAATTGTTTTGTCTCTTTCTTTGAATGGAATCGTCTTTTGTAAGTTGCTGTATGTAAAACTTTGTTTACACAATTTATATTAATTCAACTGTGATATTATTACATTTCACTTATTATAATAAGTGAAATGTAAATGTAATAATAAAATTAAAATTCTTAGCTAAAAATATTATATTCTCTTTGTATTTAATGGCATAGTACATACCATCTTAAATATTTAGTATTCGAGTAATTTTTATATATTGAAATTGATTAACTGACTTTTTAAAATAATTAAGTATCACTAAACTCTAAAACATTTATTATTATTTAATACTTTTTAAAGCATGACCACACAATCTCAGAAAATACCTCTGGTACTTGCACATAAATGAAGCTTTTAATAATCTCGTAACCAATTAAAACTAAGAGAATTTAATAAAAATGAAACTCAATTTCTTTTTCATGATAAAGTAATAATGGCAGACAACAAACAGATTATAAGTATTGTATGTTTTTCGCTGTTCACTCACATTGGCTACTGAACAATGCAGCCAATGTTCTTCAAAAACATCGAGTACTTTAGGCAGTAGAAGCTAGTTTAATGAATTGGTTGGCTACGCTTTTACGAGTATAAGTACATACGATATGAAGCCTCTTTGTAACAAAGATCTATTCTCAATGATCTTTTAACTTTCACATCGTATTTGTTTCATATTGAAAATAAATATATAACTTTAGTTCACAAAAAATCAATCTCAATCAAAAAATAATTAATAGTTATTTATATTCTGTTTATAATATAAAACAAAAGAAATATTAGTATTTTTTTAAAACCTAAGATCATACCATAGGTGAAGACTAGTGTAACTAGTATTAAAATTAATATTTGGTCTAATAAACTTAAAGCCAAAGTAATGAATAGAAATAACAAGAACACTCAGAAAATAAAAAATAAATAGTAGGAAACACGTGTAATGGTGTATTTCGCTCCAGGCGCTTTGCTTTCCATAAATAAAAGTTATAAAATGAAAAGTCTTTAAAATTATGCTAGCATTTATACATATTTGGTTCAGGCGCTCTAGAAGTCTAAACTCTATAGGAACTAAAAACATTTAAAAAAATTTCTTTTAATGATTTCGTAGGATAATTTTATATAAATTAATAGAGTACGTATTGTACCTTTTGAACAGACATATTGTATGAATATAACATGGAAGTACCTAATATCTATTATACTTTAGTGATATTCTTTATAGAAAACTACTTATTTCTTAGTAAAATTATAATTAAGCACTGATCATCATCATCCAGATTAAAAAAAATCTGTAATTCATTGACATGCATATAGCCATCAATAATGTTTATAGCTAGTGTACAAAGTATTTTTTGTTCGTACAGTGAAATTTATTAATAAAACCACTTTAAGAATATATTTATCGTAACACGTCACAAATCATAATTTTGAAACTGTAGAGGTGTTTGTTTTGTAATTATAACCACTATTAAATATATACGTCAGCCATTCAACCCCTGGCGTAAAAAAAACAACCGTAACCCAGCAACCGATGTCATTTTTCAAATTGAAAGCCAGTTTTCTTGTGGTAGTACTTAGCTATGTTGGGTTAATATCCGTCCAGCAGATGAAAGTAACAACTCTTTTCTAAAAGATGTAGACTTTTTGGCCTATAATGAAATGATTAAGTGAACTACTCCTGTCAGAACAATCGTTAAATCACTATTAGCACGTAGAGCTCTCACAGAAATATAATATATAGTATAAATATTAGTAAACAACTACGTCATTTTAAAGTCATACTTTTATTTTAAAGTACTATAAAGAGTAGGTATGTAAGCTAGATTCAATTCGATTTTGTCGTTTGTCGGTTTATTAATATTTTTAATAGCAGTTTACCCCTAATACCAATACTTGATTGCCTATTTCAATTATATTGGATTTATATTTGATTGGATTTATTCAGATTAGGTGTCTTCTTGCACTATTTGCAGATAGTTCCTCAACGCCTGGTATTCAGGTAAAAATAAGACAATGGAATTTGGTAGAAAGATGAGATGCTTTGAGCTATGTAACCATGTAATTGTTAGTTAATTTTATTTAACAAACATTTCGGTTTTAACTAAAAAAATCCATCCATCTTTCAGAACATGAGGTAGCTCAAACAGAGTCTAGCAATAACACAGAACAAGACTAACAAGAAATATTATAATTTTACGAGCATAGTTACAGTGAATGTTAGAGTTTAGAAAATGTTTAGACATGTTTTTCTATGAATAAGGTCGTAGCCATTTGACATGTATCAATTACAGGGTTCAAAAGAGTCTCCTTTTCATAGGACCAACGAAGGAAGGCCTTAGTAGTTGTTTTTCTGCATATTTTATATGAATTTCATGCTATTATTTAATGGTACGTAGGACCCACTGATTGAATTAGTAATATATAAATCTCATGATTAGTACATTTTTGGCTCACCCAAAGTTGTAATGTTGTTTAAAATACTTGCAAGAATAATAAAGTTTTACGTTATTTTGGGCCTGCTGAAATAATTTATCCAAGCTTATATAAGTTTAAGCCTCCATTTGAAAACCTGTTTACCCTTAAATAAGGATAAAAACTCGAACTATAAAAAAATCGTATCTGTAAACTGCGGTAGAGTGATACTGAAATTTTTTCAAAGGTGTCGTTAATACATTTTTGTCAACAAAAAAGTGATAATTTCATAAAAAATGTTGATTTTTCCCGATCTTTATTTAAAACATGAATTCCTCAAAGTTTGGTAGAATTGTGATGAGCATGATTTAAAATCATTTAAACACAATTGTCAAGGTTTTTAGGACCGACTTGCTTAGGCTACGTGACTATTGTTAGTCTGTTGGAAGAAATAGATATGAAAATATTTATATCCTTCTATATCTATTGCTTACCCTAATTTTAGATATTTTTTTTTGTAAAGATATTTACAAGAAATCTTTCAAAAAACTTTTGCGTTATAAAACAATGTAAAGGCTCTGCTTGAGCTTAACCATAATTGTTCGCGGAAAAATAGTACTATTTATATAAAATCTATTTCATTTAATATTTTTTGATGATGCGATTATATAAGGTGTTTTATTGAAGAGAAGCGTATACAGTTTGACAATGGAAAATCGAAGTAAAGATACAGAATGTAACGAAATACCTTACCGTCTAAGCCACAGGTCTTCACAATTTCAATATACCTTATTGGAAACTCTGGACAGTTCAACTCAAATACAAATTCCTTCACGTATTCTGTGTAGGGATTTGTGTGTGGGAGTTATTTTAATAAGAGGATGAAGGAATACATCTTGTTTGGAATTTTAGATACATGAAATTGTTTTACATTTCCAACCATACAACTGTGTGGAATTCGGGATGTGTATAATATTAAAGTAATCTGAGAAATTGTGATAATTTTTTTAGATATATTAAACATAAAAACAATGAAAAGTCACTTAATTAATTAAAAAAGTAATTTATTTTTTTTAAGACATAGAGAAAATTAACTATAAAATTGTTAGAATAAATTTTAGTATAAAAATAAATAATATATCTTATTACATTAACTGAATAAGTGTATATTAGCAACATTAACAGAATATATGTATAGACAATAATTTTGGCTATAAATATTACTGAAATATATGTACAAGTAACTCGAAAGAAATCCGTGTTATCTGAGTAACCCATTTAGGTAATTAATTAATTTATTATCATATGTTCCTATCGTGGATTTTATTATTTTTAATTTATTTACAATCTTTATTTAAAAGAGTATGCCGATGGTTTATATGATAAGTAACTGTTTACTTATTATATTTATGAAATAAAATAATAGAACGTATGGATTTTAATTAAAATTAAATTGATTAAAAAAGATTTATATCAGCCTCGTACCCGTTCTGTTGCACAATACGTTCGACTGCATGTTGTCTGTCATTTTAAAGATAAAGGTTCAAAGGTTAAATAACGACATGTTTATTATGTATTATTTATTTCAAACAACAACTACATTCGTTATTTTATCACCATATAGTGGCAATTACAGCTAGAAACATCGAACGTCCCACCGGAAGATCGATTAAATGTGAAAATTACTACGTTATAAGTAGGTATATGATATTAAAATGGACAGGATTCTAAGCTAAACATTAAAGCAGACAAACTTCAAAAAGAAGAGTTAAACAGCAAGAGATTCTACAACAGTTTTAGAAGGAAGGGAACAGACGAGACATATTGTACGAACGCTTTATAAATATTGTGTTGCCTCTAAATATAGTTAATCACAAATATAAATTAACACCTATTTCTCTAAAATTAATAATATTACGTTACATAAATTATTTTAGGTACTACTTCGAAGTTTACACACATGGGTTGTTGCTCGGAGTGCGATATTTTTATACTTTAAAAAATACAACAATAATTTTTGGTATTAATTGTTCTAATATAAGGCGTATTCGAATGCATAACAAACTGTAAGGTCGGATACACACTCATCCGCTATCGATGAGATTTAGTTATCTACACATCAAGACATCTACGCTCGTTAAAGTGCATGTAGCCAGAGGCCGCTTCTCATTCGCATGAACAAAAAAATGAACTATGATTCTATTATTATGACTGTATATATACACCATGAGAGCTTACAAAAAATTAAACTGTGCACCCGACTAATACAAAGCCTTTTACCCGGTAGAACAAAGGCACTATATTTTCTAAGGCCAAGCACTCAGTTCGTTGCCGTCAGTGAGCGGCGCCGGGCCTAGCCGAGTTCACTGCGGTGAAGAGTTTAGGTCACGAAGGCGAAGGTGATCAGCGAGAGGGTGTGGTTGTTCCCGCTTCACATCCGGCCATTTTACTACCACATTAGTATTCGAGGGTGGAAGCGTGACTGGTGGCTCAACTAGAACAGGCAATCCACCCTCTCTCTCCGGTAGAACGTGCCCAATAAGCGCCCCCACGCGGCGGTAAGTTGGCGGTAGTTGTGACTGTGGCATTTCCCTTTGCAAAACTCGAAGCCCAGTCCCCATGTGTGTGACAACGATCACTGGTGCATCTGGTACTATATCGTTAAGAGCACGCATTAAAACTGGAGCTGAAGTCTGAGCTGCCACGCAGGTTGAAACGCCGCTAACACGTGCATTTAGATTCTCCAACAAAGCTACTAACTCGTACAGCCGCTCATCGCAGAGAACAGGGTTCCCTGAAAGATAAAACTGAAACTGATAATTGTTCGTAAACAAGTTTAAAAATATTTAAAATTAAGTAAGAAATATGTTCATATACATCATTTCAAATCGCTATTTTTAACAGTTCATACAAGCACATATTAACATTGTTTAAAAATTCGCATGAGCACAATATATAAATTTCATTTTACAAAATCGCTATGGCCAAGCCAATATTTAGAATATTTCATAAAAACATAAAACAAATTAAGGTAAACAATTTTTCTTACATAATAAGTATATTAAAATATATGTAAAACCAAAGCACTGCTTGAACCAACCTTGAAGATAAATTTTCAAAATACTTGGAACTCCATTAATTGTACATCTCGATTTCGACACAACTTCATAGTTAACAGACTGAATTTCATTATATGAAAGGTCTGCGATACAGAGCGATGGAAAGCCGTGGAAATCCTTATCCAAAGTTGTTACATTATTGTGATGAGCAATGAGTTCTTCAAGTGACGGTAAAAATGCCTGAAAAAGTGTATATGGTCTCTTAGTTTTTTTTTGAAAACGAAGTAGGGCTTGAGCATAGAATGAAAATCGCAAAGCGCGCAAGCATAACTAGTAAAGTTTACAGTCACCGGTATAGTAAACAAACCTTTGAGGTATCCGCCATTGTCGTTATATGATTGTAAGACACATCAAGTAATCTAAGGTCTTCTAAACCAATGAGATCGTCAGAGGATATTTTTTGTAATTGGTTATGACTTAAATTAAGTCTCAGGAGCCCCCGTAAGCCCATCAAAGCACCGCCCAAATTAAGTATATGGTTATGATTCAATCGCAATTCCATTACGCGTGTTTCAACGTCCACCAAATTCTGAAAAGTCAAGTATTACAATTATTATATGACAACTATTATAAGATATAATTACAATACAAAATTAAACAAATTATATAGTTAAGTACCTCTATGCTGCCGGAAATTTTTGTTATTTTATTATGAGAAAGGTCAATAACGGCTAGTCCCCTTAAGCCTTTGATTTCTTGTAAAGAAAATTCCGTGAGAAAATTGTGAGTCAAGTTAAGATATCGAAGCGATCTTAAGGCTCTTAAAGACCCATTTAAAGATCTTAACTGATTATAGCCGATATCTAAATCTGCTAACATTTCTGCTTCAGAAAACTCGTCTTCAGCAAGCTATAAAAAACAATTTCAGATCGGTCTGAGGAAATCCATAAATTATTTTATAAGAATATGACCTGATAATACATTTAATAACTTACTGATTCGATCTTATTGAAAGATAAACTTATTGTTTTTAATCTTCTTGATTTTTGTAAAGCGCCATCAAGTGACTTTATGTTGTTATCGTAAAAGTACAAAGACTCCAGGGACGGCATTTGTCGAAGATCTTTTGGTAGGTTCGTTAGCTCGTTGTGTGCAGCATGAATGAGAACGATCTTTTTCGCCTTCTGTGAGACATTATAAGGAAATAATATAAAATAAAAAACATGTTTCTCTTTAAGAATAAATTTAAAACTAAATTATTTTCAGTTACCACAGGAAGTTCATTATCAATGGACTTCAAATGATTAGCGTTTATAAATATCCAATCCAAACTATCTAAATCACGAAGAGCTCCGTTTAAAGAGTTTAGTTTGTTGACACCAAGGTGAGCGTGCTTTAACCGTTTAGGTATTGCATGTCTTTCAATCTTTGATATCTGATTATCAGCAACAAGCAAGTGTTCCACTTCTTGAATGTCCTTTAAATAATAAAACATAATCAAATTTTGTATTACTTACAATCAATCAACTAGAGTAATAAATATAGTATATTATAATCTCACTTTAAAATCTTCTTCCGTCAACTTGGTTATCTTGTTCCTGCATAAGTCGACTGTCTTGACGTGAGGAAGATGTCTAAGAACATGTCGCGGCATTTCAGACAACGAATTATCGGCCAAGCTGAAGTAGTCAACTAGATCCAACTTAGTAAAGGCACTTTCTTTCAATTCACTGAAACAATGTAAAAAATATATATTATTGCATTATTTGTTAACATTTGTTTTTCTTTTATGTGTGGAGTATATAAAGTGTTAATGTATTTTTATATTTGAGGCGATCGTAGTAAAAAGATAAAGGTATTATTGAAAATAATCACAAACACTATAGTAAGTCATTGACAATCGCAGTTATCAGGCAAACGAAGGGTAAAAATAAATCTCGTTCATATAAAAAAATTATCATGAAATATGTTACAAAAAAATAAAATATCGAATTATCGTTTTAGACGCTCCAGGGCTTTCACAGTAAAACAATAAATGTAATCTTTTGTTATTTTTACCAGTCCATGTTATCTGGACAATAATTATATTTATACCAATTTTATTAAAATATATCTCGTAATTAATATTTTCCTCAACGAAACCATTGTTACACTTTTAAGTGAAAGAAATGTTGTGGACATACGGAGTTATGGTATACAATAGAATGTACATAAAAGATACGATTAAAAACGTATGTCGTATATAGACTTATTGATAGGAATTTTTTGTCAGGTACAATACTTTTATACGACTTTTACATATATTGTGTATATGAGAAGAGCTTTAAAAAGGATAGATAGGGGAAAATACTTTGGTTCGTTATTATTATAGCCGATACTTCACGTTAATTAATTAAAACCTGTCTGTCTGTCTAATTTAAATCAATGAATATTGGGTTGCGTAATAAAAAAGAGTGAACTATGAGGTAACAAAGAGAGGTTTTCTCTTCGAAAATGTATGGTATATAAATGATTTTTACGATTAATCTAATTATAAACATTTAATTTGGGATATATTTTTACTTAAGGAGTATTGGAGATATTTAGTAATTGACTTGTCATGGTCACTTAGAGAAAACCATTTTTTTAAATTTTAACCAACTTACTAAATTGTTTTAAAGAACGAGCAAAAAAATAAAGACAAATAAACTATGGAAGAGGCAAGCACCTTATTTGAGGTAGTGCATTTTGAAAATCCACCTATTTAATAATTCCAGCTATAGGTGGATGTAACCAGTTCAATTCTATTATAAATAATGGTCAAAGTATTATCTGAAGTAATTATGTCAGGTAAACTTTTTATCAACAAATTTGCTACAAAAGTAAAAAATATGAGAAAGTCTCTCATCAATTGTTCAAAATTTTGTTTTCAATCCATCTTTGACTAGTATGATTGTGAAACAAATCTCACAAATACAAGAACGTCATAAATTTGCTCATACAGCGAATCTGAACCAGATTCCAGACTGGATATGGCAAATAGCTACACCAGGTGAAAATCACCACCTGAATTCCATTCATACATACATATTTTCTTACTAAATATTGAAACTATCAGAGCTGTCGAACATGTGAACCCGAACTTAGCTCCTCTCATAACTTAAAATCATTAAGTAAAAAATTCAGATTCTTTCCAAATACGTTAAAAAATAATATATTAAATTCGACATACAAAATACCTTTTTTATTATTTGAGCCTCTCTATAAGAGAATTTACCTCTTTATATGTTTTGTTTTAAAATTGTGTTTTATTAAAATCAAGTGAGCCTATCTTATTAGTAAATACAATTAATAAATTACTCTTATATATATTGATTGTGATCGAAAAAGTATAAAACTTTAAACAATTTGTTCTTGACCCTATTAAAGTGAACACAACAGTATATGTATACTTCTTATCGTTAATTTCAACAAATTTATCTGAAAATAATAGTCAAATAAATTTTAACAATAACTTGTTAATCCATAGAATATAAGCGATCTTGAAATAAGTATATAATAAAAACTTTTTTTATAAATAAATCAAACATAAAATTACCAAACTATACTTCCATTATGGTACCTACACGTACGCTGTGCAATACATACAAACATATTTATATCTTACTAGAAGACCTGGCGAACTTCGTATCGCCCTATAATCAAGAAATATCTATTACGTTTTTTTATTTATATTTTTGGAGTTTACCTGTAAGCCATAAATCTCCGTGTTTTGAAGTGCGACAGAATGATTGACATATTAGTTAGTTGTCAAATCTAATGTCAAAAAAAAGTTTGTATGGGAAATAGAAAAGGGCTGTTTTTATGGTTTTCCCAGTAATGAATAAATTTTTTTCAGCTTTTATACCTTCCCTGAACCTCCACGAACATTTCAAGACTAAGATAAGATAAATCCGTTCAGCTGTTCTCGAGTTTTAGCGAGACTAAGGAACAGCAATCCATTTTTATATATATAGAAGAAGAAGACTATGGATCAATAAGAAAGCACACGATCGTAAGTATAAAAACTCCCATACACATTACCACCTAGTTTGATTGAATTTGGGGGATCCTTTTCAGATTTTATCGTATCCAATTAGCTTGATATTTTTTTAAATACCAATTAGCTTGATATTTTTTTATAATTCCCTACGAGAAATTCATGTGATTTAAGAAGGGTGAGATGTTGCGCTCTAGGGCCGGATCATAGAGGTGAAGTTGTAAAGGACATAAAATGTTTCCTGAAAAGGACACCTTATAATGGTGGCCCTGACAAAGGAAGCAATTGCATTAAGAACGTTTAGTCTTTTCCATCTCGTGTAAAGTAACGACTCTGGTTTGGTTTTCAAACAATAACACTGTTCGATGTGGATACGTCTTAGATTTGTTTATTTACAATATAAGGTAGATAGTCCAGAGTCCAGTCATAGGTAGATACTAGGAGTCTAAAGTCAGTGATGGCCTAGCGGTTAAAGGCCCGCGTCTCATGCACGAGTGCGCGGGTTCGATCCTGGTGATTTTTCCGAGACCTATGTACATTCTGAGAGTATTTAGACACCACTGAGAGACGATGAAGGAAAACATCGTGAGGAAACCTGGACTTATAATTTCACAATTATAAGTTTGAAATCACCAACCGTTGATATCAGGCAAGCGGCCGGACGTAAAAACAATAGTCAAAACTATTTACAACATGTAAGGCAAACCCTAGCCAAAGCTGAGAAATTGCCAGGAAGAAGAAGAAGATAAGGTAGATAGTCCAAAGAGATGGGCTTTCGAACTAAGAAATCATTTCGTATCAAGACTATTTTCTAAACGGACTGTAATTCCAACGAGGTTAAATTAATTTAATCACACAAGCGATGAATGTTGGAAAGTTACAACAAATACTCTTGTATATTCTAAGTTGTTCTTTAGCAGCGTAGCAAATGTACGTCTTTCACAAACGTAATTAACATCGTTAAACTAAATAAGCTGGGAAAGCGTCGTATATTGACATAACAATGAGATAACGCGGGTTGAAGGACAGACGATTTTGTATATGAAACATCGACTCGGTCAAAATTGAAAGCTATTTTTAAATAATGTAGTTATACAACCTAATCGTTTTCTGATTTTAATTTTATATAAATTGGGTAAGAAAATGTTGACAAAATTTTGTGACGCCTCTATTTTATACATATTAATTGCGGATGAAATCGAAATAAAACATTAGAACGGTTGTTAAAAGACAAAATCTACTTTACAATGAGATTTATTAAACATGAAAAATAGCTTGTTATTTAAAATGGAAAATCATTGTTATTCCATTTTACTTATATACACATGAAAGAAAAGGTGAAGAAAACAATAAAAATGTATTTTCTGAGTATTTTCTTAACCAAAATTATTATATTTCGCAAAACAATGTTATCCAAAATCTAATAATATATTATAAAGAACATTCTACCTATTTTTAAAAAAATGAATCATAACTATAATAGGTATTTCCAAATATTCACAGTAAATTAGAATTTCAAATAAAATGTTGTTTTGGGAATGTAATTAAATAGAAGAGTTCCACCACTGTCATTGCAAAACTTAATTCCTTCTATATTCAATTTCTATTTATATTCCAATTAACAAATAACCATAAACTTAAATAAAATGCGACCTATTATTAAGTAAAAATTTTTGAAAGAAATTTGATCATTTCATACTTTTACATCAATCTAAAGAGTGTTAGTCAGAGATCCAGGTGCAGGCAGTATTTAAGAATTTAGAGTGTATAAGTCAGTAAACACAAATGAGAGGTCAACGAGCCGGGGGTTATCAGCTAAAGGGGCGGCGCCAAACGGTCGCATGGTTCGCAACTAACATTATGTTTGTAAGTACAAAAATTCGCGGAAATGATGTTTTTTACTTTGAGCTCCTATAATGCCCACTATAATACTTTATCTCATTTACGATAATAGCAATTTTTTTTATACCTACCTCAATATTAAATTATCTGTAACGAATCATGGATATTTATCTATTCTACAACCGAACATGAAATTATTTTCAAATTATTGATGATCGGATATTTAAAAAAAATCGTTTCCGAGCTTTGATGCTGGTCTTATATCAACACAAGCTGTAGCTTATGACAGGAATATAGGGAATTTCTGAAACTATGTTTGGGCTGTTTCCTCATACTGGCCAAATATTTGCATACGGATTTGCATTCAGAGTATGATTTTGCTGAAATGGAACGAAATTCCTCAATGATAAGTATTACAAGGATGACGATAAGATATTTCCATGTATGTAAATAATGAAGCAATTGAGCGATTAGCGATCCAAGGATTAATAAATTCGAAGACTCTTTAGTTTGTATTCAATAGCTATATTTCTTTATTAAGTTAATAAATAGTTCTGCCACATTTATTCCGCTGTAAATGTGTTTAAAATAAACTTATCTTTATTCTATTTAATATGTTCAAATATCTCAGCCTTGACCTTATACTGCACCTAAACTGTCATTTAAATTTAACCAAAGCAGTCGAGAAATAAAAATAGATAGATAAAAATCTATCTCATCTGCAAAACTGTAGCACACGGTCTTAGTGATATTTCTAAATGTATATTGTAACTTTTTATTTTATTTTAATACAAAGCTGACTGATATTAAATTAATATAAAATTTCTTACTTTACATTATTACAAATACAAATATCGTACCAAAAAACGT